AGAGGTGGACTTGCTGCTGTGTTTCAAGTCCTTTTATCTGCCTCAGCTCAGCTGTTTGTGTGTGTGAGTGTGACAAACGAGCTTTTTGTGGTATGTTGATGAAGGTGAAGCTGAAAATGAGTCCAGTATTTAAAATGTCCATGTTTTACTCTAGTAAACAAATGTTTTACCAAACGTCTAATATTTTTTCACCATCAGGTATTTTTGTGACTCTTTGAATCTTTGAATGCAGCACTTTTTTCCTCCTCTGTTAGTTCAGTGGATTTTCTTGTTGTGTGTGTAGGTTTGGGACATCGTGGGCACTGAGCTGAAGCTGAAGAAGGAGCTGACGGGACTCAATCACTGGGTTCGAGCGCTGGTGGCCTCACAGAACCACCTGTACAGCGGCTCATATCAGACCATCAAGGTAAGAAAGAGCAATGTTTACCTACTTATCATTACTCAGCAGCTATAAACGACTCAAACAAAATAAAAAAGCATTGTGAGGCTGCATATTTCCACTTTATGCACAAACTGAGTCGTTGGAGCCAGAAGGATTTCTGGATCTGGATTCCTTTGTGCTGTTCTGTTAAACATCTCTAAGTTTGGTTTAAATTTGATACGTACGAACAAATTAATTCGACCTCCACACAACGTGAGGTTTATTTCACAGCTGCCCAAAACAGCAATGATAATAAAATCATTTTCTATTTGTCTGTGACGTTTGTTCCTCCAGCAAAATCATTCTTTAATCAAAATGATATTTTTAATGCTCAAATATAATTATTGTTGTTACCCATTAATTCACAATTAAAACAATTAAACAGTCTTAACATGCTTTACTTTGTTTTGACGCTAAATTCCAGTTATTTACTTGAACTCCTGAACAGAAAAAATAGTTTTTGATGTTGAAAGTTGTGCCTGATTCATGTCTGACTGCTCAGAGAAGTCCAGTGTGTTTGTTTGTTTTTTTTATTCACGTTTTAGATGGACAGAACCAGACAAACATAAACTACAGGAAGAATAATATTGTCAGCTCTCTGTCTGTTGCTTATTTGCAAAAAACAAAGCAAACTGAAATGCACAATAGCAAGACAGGAAGAAGAGAAAAATAAACCCAAAAGGAACAAATCAGCTACTGGGAAACGACAACAAAAACAAAAATAAAGATGCCCAGGAACTAAAGACGACCTCGACCACTGGCTGTATTAAACATTTTCTTTCTTTTACTGGCTGTCAAAGAAAAAGAAAAAACAACTTATCACATTATCTAAAAGACGTATTGTCTGTGACAGCAAAAAGGGGCCCAGACCTAAAAATATCTCCTCTCCTCTTAACTGTGTGCGTAATCCGTTCATACAACCATTCTGGACATTTTTCAGTCCATTCCTTGAAGTAACGGGTTAGAGGACTTCCAGTACAACCTGTCATGAAAGCCAAACGCACCCACAGCCTCTGTAACAGAGGTAACAGGTAACAGACGCTGGAGAAAATCAACCATTCAAAGGTTAAAAATCCCGTCCTACAAATGGTCGTTTGTCCCAGCTTCTTTCTGACATTTCCAGCTTGTGTCATTGTCATCAAGATTCAACCTGACTAGCTTACTGGGGTCCAGTTATTTCTGTGTATTGGATAAGCTGAGATTGTGACGATGAAACCAGCTCCTTCCAACAATCCTCTGAAATCTGAATTCCCAGATCTTTCTCCCAGCACAGCCTCAGCCTCCTGATGGGCCAATGCGCCTCTCTGAAGATCCACAGACGCCCTGATTCTATTGATACCAGGAGTCCAGTGTGTTTGTTACATTTAACAACGTAAACTCAGGTTGTCATTTGTCTACTGAATAATTTTTTCATTTTTTGCTCAGATTTTTAAACAGTTTTTGACAGATTCCTAAAATATTTGTTGTTTTCACAGCAGCTGGTCTTAATATTTGTTAGTACTATATTTTTATCTTTATTCCAAGCAGATGTGCTGTGTGGGGCGGCGATTTTTGTTTTTGTTTTTTTCCTTTACAATTAAAAAAATAAACATCATTTCATTTTTTTAGTTTATCTGTTTAAAACAATCGCACACATCATTAACTTAGTGTAATATTATTCCAGGTTATGCTAGCAGCTGTGTTTAATGCTGTGAAAGTTTACATTTGAGCAGCTCACACCCAGCATGGCTCACAGTGATGTTTTAAGAGTCACTGATTATTCTTCATCCTCGTCTCTCTGCAGAAAACCTTCAAACTATTGAAGATGAATTGAATGCTGTAGTTTTATAAATTACTTTTTGTTTTTTCACATGTCAACTTGAAAATGTCAGCTGAAGCTAATTTTATACAATGTTACCAATAGCAACACAACAGTAACTTTTCCTGC